GATATTATTATCCTGTAACAGAGGCAGTTGAGCTTAACATCACTATTTGTCTTAATATCAAATGCATTCGACATAGCATGGAACTGGTATTTTATAACAACCATCAATGTTCTAAACTTTAAATACCTACAAAATGTGAAAAAACCCCACGTTTTTACACAAAAATTTACAAGTCAAACCATATATAGCATTGCAGCAGTATAACTCTATGACATTTTTTTCCTGTCTTCTTTTCTTTTATCCTTTTTTCTACAAACATTTACTTTAAAGAGAGTTTAGCAATAATTGATATGATGTTAGAAGCAGTACGCATTTAGAAGACCAACATGATAGGTAATTCAAGTATGTTCTTAGTGTTACACATTGCTATCCTCAACATAGCTGCTTAGTTCACAGATATCAGCATATAGAGTTGGTCAAAGTGAGAATTCTCCCCATTAACTGCTATTTTCAAAAACCTGATGGAGATTCTTAAGGTGATTGTCTTAACCATCTTGTTTATATAAATGTATGGTTTTGCCCCTGCCATATTTCCTAACTTTTCTACTTTCTCTCTCTTCGTTGTTTAATCCTTAAGTTTTCACTTTCCATTTAACTATGCTATATCTTTCAATTTTTATTTCCTATTTTGAGTTCTTACACTAGAGAGACAATATGGTATTTATCCATGTGGGTCTGGTTTATTTCACTTATGAGTATATCTTCAAGTTGCATCCACTTGTATATGAAGATATCGAGTTCATTATTCTTTATAGTTGAGTAATACTCCATTGTATAAAAGCACCATATCTTTTTCTTCCTTTCTTCAGGTGATGGGCATTTTGGTTGTTTCCAAGATTTGACTATCACAAATTATGTTGCTATAAAAATAGGCACACATATATTTCTATGATAGAATATTTTCAGTTATTTTGGGAAAATTCCCAGAAGGATAGCTGGAGTGATCGGGATTTTCTGTCCCAGTTTTTTGAGGAGACTCCACAACGACTTCCGTAATGGTTATAACAGTCTACATTCCCTCTAGCAGTGAAGAAGTGTTCTTTTTACCTTGCAGCTTCTTCAACATTTGTTGTTTGTTTATTTCTTTATGTTAGCCATTCTTTGTGGGGTGAGATGGTATTTCAATGCTGTTATAATTGGCTTTTCATGAATAGCTAATGAGGTAGATCATTTTTTTCATATAGTTATTATCTTCTTGTATTTCTGCCTCTGAGAAGTGTGTTTTCATTTCAGATGTCCATTTCTGGTTGGAGTCCCCAAATTTTGGGGTCTTTACTTTTTTTTAGTTCTTTTTAAATTCTAGATAAAAAACTGGTTTGAGTGCTTATTAGTTAAGATTTTTTTTTCTGAATTTGTTGGTAAATTTACTTTTTGGGTAAATTCTTTTGATATGCTAAAACTCAATGAGAGGAATGCCCAGTTGTAAATCCTTTCAAGTATTTCCTGTGCAGTTTGATTTTTGTTTCTGAAGTATTTTTCTACATCTATGTCTTCAAGATTTCCTCCTACTTTCTCTTCCAGGAGATTCAGTGTTTCTGTTTCAATGTTTAGATCATTAATCCATTTTGACTTTACTTTAGTGCATAGTGATAGACTTGGGTACAGTTTTAGTTTTTGGCATGTAGAGAGCCACTTTTTCTGGCACCATTTGTTAAAGAGGCTATCTTTCTTCCAGTAAGCATGTTTGGCCCCTTTGTCAAAGATAAGATGGCTCAATGTGCTTGTAGTGTCTTCTGCACCTTTTTGTTTATTCAATTGACCCTCAGGTCTGGTTTTTTTTTTTTGCCATCTCAGTGCTTATTTTATCACAATAGCTTTGTAGTATAATTTCAAGTCAGGAATTGTAATGTTTTCTGGATTGTCTTTGTTGACCAGGATTCCCTTTGCTATTCTAGGTCTTTTCTGGTTTCAAGTTTTAAGCATGATTACTTTGGGTCTGTGAGGTATGTTGTTGGTTTTTTTATAGGGATTGCAATGAATCTGTATAACAATTTTGTGAGTGTGGCCACCTTTACGATGTTCCTTCTTCTTATACAAGAGCACAGAATATCTTTCCATTTTCTGAAATACTTTGTGATCTCTTTTTAAGAGTAGTATAATTTTCATTGAACAGATCCTTGACTTCTTTAGTTAGATTAATTGCTAACAAGTAACTAGACATGGTCATTCTCATAGTCAAGGTTTGTTTTTTTATGGTGACTGTTGCTTGTAATTTTCTTTCAATAAAGGATATTTATTTATTTATTTATTTATTTTTAAAGAATAATGACTCAGTTACTCATCTCTCATGGCTGGGACAAATACCCAACACTCAAAATGAAGGAAGAAAGGGTTTATTTAGTTCACAGTTACTGGAGGTTTCAGTCCATACTCAGCTACCTCCAAGGGAAAACTGGCACATAGCAGAGGGCATCAGTTAATGGTGGTAGAATTCAGCAGAATAAGAAGAGCAAAAGGAAGAAGTAACAACAACAATGGCTACAGGGAACGTGTCTTTCTCTCTTAAGGTACATTCAGGCTATCCACCTTATTCTGGGTGTAGTATTCACACCCATAACACCAACAGCACTCAAACCTGTAATCCCAGTAGAGCATGAGTTAATAACAAACTCTAAAAATCTGCCCCATGTCTGCAGAAGGCTTTGGGGGGGACAGTTAGACATAAGCTATAACATTAAAAATAGTGATAGAAACAAAAGAAACAGTGGAAATAATACAAGATTTCACCAAAGAAGTATGAATTCGATACTGGTTGCTGTATAGATGCAGTTAATGCTTAAATTTTTGATCAGAATTTTTGCCTTTTGAATTTTTTAAGGCACTTTTAGAAGTGTTTGAAATGAAGGCCATACTTCATTCCTCTGTAGTATGGTTTGTGTTAGCTGTTGTAAAGTCTCATGCAGTCATGGGGCAGGGAGTTCTATAGTTTGAGATTAACTCATGATCCACTGTGATTATGGGTTTTTATACTGCTGGGATTATGGGTGTCAGTACTTCTCCCATCCTGGGGATATAGCCTGAATGCAATTTAAGAAAGACAGACTTCTGCTTTGTAGCCATTATTGCTTCTGCTCCTCCATTTTACTCTCTCTATCTTTGACACTGTTGTGAAAGGTTTCTGTCTGCCATAGGCTGCTCTGCCTTGGAGCCAACTGAGTATGGAGTGAAACCTCTGATACCTGTGAGATAAATAAACCTTTCCTTCCTTCATTTTGGGTGTGGGATATTTGTTTCAGCAAGAAGAGTAACTGAAACACTCTGATTCTGTTTTCTGGAAGAGATGATAAATATTAGTGTAACAGAATCCTAAATACTTTCCCTTGGTTTACCATTTGAGAAAACTGTGCTTAGTGTCCTCTGCTTTGAAAGACTTCTCACCATTGATTTATTTTCCTTAACACATATAAGTATATTCATATTGTTTGCTCTTTTTTATTTATTCATTTATTTCTGTGTGTGGCTACCTGTGTGTCTGTGTAACCACACACAAATATGCCCACTGGGAGTTCAATTTCGGGTCTTTGCATGCTGTGTACTCCATAACTTAATTATATAAACAGCCTCATTTCTGCCCTATGCCTCAAGAGATTCTTTTTTTTTTTTTTTTTTTTTTTTTTTTTGCTCCGAATGCCTTCAGGGCAGTTTTGGCTGGCTTGAGTTGTGGGGCTCGAACCACAGCAAACTAAGCCTGATTGCTTTGTTGAAGCAGCCACTTAAAGAACTGAGCTAAGGGGCAGGACTCCTGCCTCAAGAGATTCTATCTTTGAAGGAATTGATTCATTTCATCTAGTTATCAAGTTAGTGTGCAGGAGAGTGTTCCTAATAATAGTCTTTCTTAATGTCTGGACTCAGTGGTAACAGTCTCATCACTATTTTAACATTAAATTTATATCTGCAGTAAACAAAATAATAGGAGTTCAACAGTGGTTGTTATATTTCCTATTGTCTTCAAGTTTGTTGTTCAGACTTCCAGATATAAATATGCAAAAATGGTCAAAAATTATAAGAAATTAAAAAAGAGAGAGTGAAAAAATTTAACCATTATCTGCTCCTTTCAGTAGCCCACCAGAACTTAGCAGTTCAATTATCCAAGCTTTCTTATGTATGCACATTTATATTTCATTTTTCCTTTGTTATTTCTTTTCTCCTTGCTCTCTTACCAGTTATTCCTTCCATTTTTGGTTTCTCATTTAATTTTTTATTATCTCTTTCCTGTTACTCCCTTGGATTGGTTGCTCTTTAATTTCTAAAATGGCATCTTAGGTAAGTGCTTTCTGATGATTTTTCTTTTTTAAGCCAAGTGCTTAATGGTATAATTTGAATACTGATCACAGCTTGGCTGTAGCTTACAAATGTTGATACATTTCTGCTGTGATGCCAATATCTCTCAACATTTATTTGTTGTGATCTGAGTAAGTGGAGCCTATTGGAAAATAATTTAGTAATGTAGGTGCCTCTTTGATGAAATGCACCAGTGCTTTACAAAAAGCTGAAATGGAACAGATTAGATACTTTGGGAGAATGAAAGGCTTGTGCCTACTGCCATATAAGAATACGTCAAACAGAGACCAAGTACAGTACCCAAAAAAGAAAAAAAAAACACCTTTAGAAGTTATTCTTGGATCTTCAACCTCCAGAAGTAGAAATCTCACTTTGCACTTTTTCACATGGGAAACGTTCACCTTTCCCACTATAGCATATTCAAAGTCAATAAACACATTTTATTTCAGCAGTTCACAGATGAAGAGTTTAATATAAGGTAAATTGTACCTCACATTTCTTCAATTTCTCAGATGGACTAGTTTGGAATTTGGACTTCTGGGATAATTGTGGAATACATTAAGGACTTATGAAGAGATGGGAGAGAATGAATATCCTTTTATAGCTGTAAAGAATGGCAGAAATAATGGAAAATCTCAGTGATGAGATAGGAAGTTTTGGCTAGGCATTTCTATTCTCAGAAATCCCTGAATGTAACTCAGTTTTTGTTTTTCCTATAGACATGGCCACTGCTGATGACAACACTGATGCACAGCTTCTTCTACAGAAAAGGAATCAAGATATCCAAAAGATATTGAAAAATGTGGGACTAGACTCTGAGTACTGGTTGCCTAAATTGAAGAACCACCTAGGTGTGACCAGTGCACAGGCCTTGGAATACTTAGAAGAGAAAGATCTCCAGGTCCTCAAATCCCAGGTGCAGCATCCATGGGAAAAAAAAGCCCTAGAGAAGCTGTTTGATCTGTCACACTCAAATACTCACCGACGGTTACAGGACTCATCAGTGGACATGATAAACAAAAGGCAGAGGCGAGCAGAACAAGCACTTCAAGGGCTAAAAGACCTGTTCTTGGAAGGAAAGCAGAGGGAGGATGAGGCAGTGAGAAGAAAAGAAGCAGAGTTGAGGCAAGCAATAGAGATCCCTGAAGAGTTCTGGCCAGTACGTGAAAAGCCCCTGTGGCAAGTAATGGAGAATGTGCAGAGAAATCTCAGTCTCATGCAGCAAACTGTTTTACACAAGAAAGATCTTTCAGATAGAGATCTGGTAAAATGGGCATCTGGAGGCCTTGCCCTGCAGGGAGTTTACCAAACTGGCCAACAAAGGGACCTGGTAGAGAGAAGAGAAAAGCTACTTAGTGTCCCCAAAGAGTTCTCATTCTCTGGCCCAGAACAGGGCACACGGATGGAAACAAGAGAATTTACATCTTCTCAAGCAGAAGCCATGTTCACTGAGAGCATGGAGAAGCTGGGCTTCAGTGTAACAGCCTCAGCCAGTGGTGGGGGATGGGGATTTAGTTTAGAAGGTGGCACAGATAAAAACAAACATTCCGAATCCAATGAAATCCATAAATCCCATTCTGAACATTCTTATTTTTGCTCAACCAAGTTCAGCTACATCCCCCTGGCCTCCTGCCACTTTCCCACTGATCAACTCCAGTTCTCCAAGGCTGCACTCCAGGAACTAAAACACATTGATGACCTCCTGGATCATGCTACATCCCCTTTGTTGAAGCAAAGGATTGAAAACTTTTTCCACAGGTTTGGGTCTCATGCTAATCAAGGCCCTCTGCACCTGGGAGGAATCTACTGGTGGAAGGCAATTTCAGAGGGTTTCCAAAGAGAGCAGCTAGAAGATGTAAAGAAGCAAGCAGCAGAGGCTCTAGACACTTGCATAATGGGCAGCTACAGTGGCTTTGGAATGAAAGTTGCTGCAAGTCTGACTCTGTCAAAATTACATTCTAAAAAAACCACTGAAAGCAAATTGCTTCAAAACCATCAAACCAATATCAAATTATCTGTGGCCCAGACTGGAGGCCCACCAGAGTCAGAAGGTCTTTTCCAGTGGAAAACTGGTCTTGAGGCCAACAATCAAACCTGGTGTGTCATTGACAGGGGCCTTCAGCTGGTCCCAGTTTGGGATATCATCCTCTCCAGCCACAGAAGTGATTTCAAAGATGCTCCAAAGTTGGCCAAATACATGAAAGACAACTATATTGCTTTGACTGGCCTCAGTGCCCAGATCCAATATGGAGGGGAAATACTGAGTGCTGAAGAGGAAGCTAGAGTGTTTCTAGAGGATGTAAAATCCTGGGAAGTGTCTGATCCTGAAGAACAGCTTAAAAAGTTAATGAATTTCATGCAAAGTTTGTGTAAGAAAAGAACAGATTATGATATTTGGATTAATATGTGCCTCACAAATTTTGATCTACAGAATTTCTTATTGAGTGTAGTAAACTTTTGCAAAACATCTTCCATTCATGAAACTAAATTTATTAAATCTCAGCTGCGCACACTTCTGGATCCTCATGTGTACAAAGTGGAAAACTTCCCTCAAACTCACTCCATCATGCAGTGGATCTATAAATCAGAGTCAAAGCAAGAGGAAGTCAATATCTCCCAATTTTCAGAACTAATTAAAATCTTAAAAGAAGTACTTAATGATATTTTGGGAGTAAAGATGAAATCTGATTCCCCAGAAACTGTGGAAGAGGCTCAAAGAAAAGTCACTCATAAAGTCAGCTTGGCACTTACTTGCTTTTTGAAGTACCTCAGAGAAGTAGAGGAGAAAGACACAGAGCTCTTGTTGCTTTGCATTGCAATTGGTGCAGGATATCACTTGGTTCATAAAACTTTTCAACATGTTCTGGATTCTGAGGAATTAAAATTTCTACTAAATGAAATGCAAAATGCCCAAAGCAAATACCAAGAGCTGAAAAATATTTCCAACCACAGAGCTCATGCATTCCTGGTTCTTATAAGTCTGACAGCCTCAGCTAGAGTAACAGCTATTTGCACAGAAGAAAAAACACAGCGCATGACATTGATCGGACAATGCATGGGCCAATCTCTGTCCCCAAAAGTTGCATATGTCCTCAACAAACCTGGAGCAGGAGGTCACAATTGGGAAAACCTAGAAAAAGACTTGAGATTGATCATTGATGGGGATTATGAAGGCTCCAGATCATATTTTCAAGTAGAAAAGATCAAAGAAGAGTTTCAAAGTCTCTTTGATGAGAATAAAGAGATATGTAAATCACATGATAAAGACAACAGTAAACAGCAGGTGATAGAAAATGGGGCCTTCCAAGATTTACTCAGGCGTCTAGGCCTAGAAAATTATTTCTCAAAAAGAATGGGTAGGGCTGATTTCCATCTTGTCTATAAGATTCCTGTTTACAGAACCCAGCCCACCTCTGAACGAGACCTTCCATTCTGTTTCCTACAGAAGCTGCTGATGCTTGATTATGGATTCAGATATCTGGTATACAGAGAGAAAGAAAATATGGAACATCAGGCTTATTCAAGTGCCTCTGATGAAAATGATGATTCTGATCCATATGAAGACCCTTTTTGTGATGGTAATAGTCCTGTTACCAATAAACTGAAGCCTCATATTCACCCAATGGACATCCAGATGGCAATTTTTCACTGTGTAGATGATTTTGCCAGACAATATATTTTGGGAAAGCTTTCTATTTGTCAATTTGCCCTCCCCCTTTTGGTGCCTAACCCCTGTACTTCACAAATTGAATTCTCACTCTGGTGTCTCAGACAAATTAGAAGAAGTTGGCAGCATTCAAGTAAATCTCCTCAAGGAAGGTACAGTTTTCATAACCAGCAGATTTGTTGTGTGCCCACCCCCATTGTGTCTTTCATTAGAGTTGGAAATGGCCTCTCTGCTTCGAAATCTCAGACCATGAACTATCTTCTCAGTAAACGTAAACATGATGTGTTTTTTCACCGTCACTGCAAGGGAAGCAGCAAAGACTGTCTCTTGATGGAGGGTGTGGTGGAAATCTGCTGGTTCTGTCCTGGGGCAGAAGATGAGGACAGATTTGACAACTGTGTGACCTTTGCCAATCTTCATGGAGATGCAAAGGAACACAAGCAGCAACTTGCTTTCCTGAAGGAGGTCTCTTCTCTCATTGTGATCCTTATGTCAGCCTCTGATGACAATGAAGAGAACAAGGACATTGTCCGTGACCTATGGCAATCTTCAAAATTACCTGTGATCTGCTTACTTGATGACAAGGAAAAAAAGAACGTCAATCCATCTGGCAGAAAAATAAAAATTGGCATCAGGAATAGAAATGAGGCAGACTTAACAGAGGAGATCACTATTGCAGTCAGACGTCTGCTAGGACTCACTGTGGCTTCTCACAGCATGGAAGACTGTTCTCACATTGCGCGCAAGCAAGGATTCCTTATTGATGAAGACCACAGAGAGTGCAAGGAAGCCAAAGATAAGGCAGAGATTATAATGGCCCTCCTGAGAGAAATGAATGTATCTCACATTAAGGAAGTTGTACTACCCCTGCAGGGGGAACTTTGGCATCTTTGGTGTAAAAAAGATAAAGAACTTTATCATTTAAGAGAGAAGGGGAACAAGAGTATTGAGCAACACAAGTGTGATATTGAGGAGGAAAAACAAACAATAAGGCATCAACAGTTGGAAAAGGCCTTGAAACCCAATGACATAGTGCTATATTTTCTACAAATTTTGAAACATAACTCTGAAAATGAAACCAAACTCTACTTTTTGCACTGGCTGAGTATCTTTTTGGACAACCTCTCAAGAGGACACTTGGAAAAACTACAAGAGAAACAAAGATCTTTATGGTCAAGGGTACAAGCAGAAAAGCAAAAGGCACAGAAAAGCAACTCCCTGGACCTCTTGAAAAATGAGATAATAACCATTTCAACAGAGATTAGTCAGTGCACCTTGGGAATTGAGCTGTTTATGAGAGAAATTGGGCAGATGTATGAAGCTCTGGAAGAAATATCCTCCAAAAGAGATACTGTTTTTCTGTGCCTTCCCCAAATTGCTGCAGACCTGATGCTGTCTGGCATGCCCATTGAGCTGATGGATGGTGATGCATCTTATGTGCCTCTGAAATGGGTAGCAGCTGTATTTGACAAGGTCTCTGAGAAGCTCCCAGGCAAGAGGCTATTTGTTCTTTCTATCCTTGGCCTGCAGAGTTCAGGGAAGTCCACCTTGCTGAATGCCCTTTTTGGGCTGCAGTTCTGTGTCAGTGCAGGCAGGTGTACCAGAGGTGCCTACATGCAGCTCCTGAAGGTGGAGGAGACCTTTGCAGGGGAACTTGGATTTGATTTTCTATTAGTTGTAGACACAGAAGGACTTAGGGCCCCTGAACTCAATAGCAAATCCCAGAATAGGGACAATGAGTTGGCAACTTTTGTCATTGGACTTGGTAACTTGACTCTGATTAATATTTTTGGAGAGAACCCTTCAGAGATGCAGGATATTCTACAAATAACTGTTCAAGCCTTTCTGAGGATGAAACAAGTGAAAATCTCCCCAAGTTGTCTCTTTGTCCATCAGAATGTGGGGGAAGCTACAGCTAAAGAGCAAACCATGGAAGGACGAAGGCAGCTACAGCAGAAATTAGATGAGATGGCAGCAATGGCTGCTGAGCAAGAACAGTGCACAGATGTATTCTGCTTCAACGATGTCATTAAGTTTGATGTGAATACTCACGTGCACTACTTTGCTCACCTGTGGGATGGCAATCCCCCAATGGCTCCTCCTAATCCTCGCTATAGTCACAATGTTCAAGAATTAAAAAGTACAATTTTTTTGATAGCTAAGGAGGCGTCTAGGGGAAATATGAAGATTTCAGATGTGAAATTTAGAGTGGAAGATTTGTGGAGAGCCTTGGTCAGTGAGAACTTCATTTTTAGTTTCAGAAATACCCGAGAGGTCATGGCCATGAGCAAACTGGAGTCCATGTATAACCAGTGGTCCTGGAAGCTGAGGAGTTATGTGTTGCACTTGCAGAATCAGCTGAATAATCAGATTCAGAATGGAAAAATCCAGGTCCTCCAAAGACGCTCTCTTGAAGATCCCATTACACAAACATATGACACCATTAAGGAAGATCTTGAGAAATATTTTAATGAAGGCCCAGAGAGTGAAATAATGATTCAGTGGAAAGGAAGTTTTGAAAATAAGTTATTAATCCTTAAAGAGACACTTGTTTTAGATGCCAAAAAAGAAGCCAATAAACGCATTGATCTTAAGAAAAGTCAACAGAAACTGGATGAGCAGAAGACAACTTATGAAAATGAAATTTTGGAAAGGAGCCGAGAGTTGGCATTAAGTGTAAAAGGTAAGGAATTGAGTGAAGAGGAGTTACAGCACAAATTCAATGAACTTTGGAGTAAATGGGTCTGTGATGTGGCCTCAAATGTTCGTCCAACAACAGAACCTAACATTGTAGTGGATTCTCAAAACATCCTTTTGGAGCATTTTAAAAAGGAAAAAAACTTGGTCAACAAATTCAAGGGAATTTCAGAAAAAAAATTTGGCATCAATTATGATAGACATATCCAAAGGGGCAGGAATTGGATAGTTTTCAGAAATGAGTTACAAGTAGATGATATAGAGTTAATTAATACAACTACTAGTCACATTTTCTCAAGATTTGATGAAACTATTAGTAGTATTTGGCAGGAACATCGTGACTACAATGTAAATGATTTTCACAAAATTCTGAAAATAATAGAAGAGGAAGTGTCATCTGCCCCTACAAACCAAAGGTTCTCATTTACAAGCAAATACAATATGGACTTAGCTTTCCATTTATTTGAAAAGGCATCAAAAAGTTTTGAGGATATTCATAGTGCATTCAAGAAAGAAAATAATCCTGTGCACTATCTGGAAAGAAAAAAAGGTGATTTCCTTACAAGTTTCAAGATCTCTAGCCAAGGAGCAACCTCTATCAAATCATTTGTAGATTTTCTATGGTACAAACTCATTCCTGCTGCAACTACCACCATTAAGGACAACATGGTCCCTAAAATTGCTGGGGACATGCAAGCTAACTGTGTTGCTTTCAATGGAAACCGGGCTAATCTGGAAAAACACATTCTCATCTATCTGGCCGAGGAAGAAAATTTTGATAAGTATTGGCAATATATTCATGATCCAAATTCCTTTTTTAGTGTTTACATTCAAAACTATATTAAAAGATACTGTTCAGAAGAAGAAAAAAGAATAAAAACTTTTTTAAAAATAAATTTAGACATCATTAAGAATGCCATCCTCTGTGCTATTCATGAATCCACCGCACAGGCTAAGGATAAAAGCAGCACTGCATCAGAGTGGTTGGATTTGTTCTGTGACCACCTGGAGAAGAACTTGATCTTTCCTCGAGCAGATCTCCAAAGCATTGAACACCAGGAGATGAAAGATATAGAGTTTCTCAAAGAAGCCATGAGTGCAGCTTTAGATTCTGCAATAAAGAAAGTCGAGCAAAATTGTTCAGATATGCCTACTGATGAAACTATTTCTGAAGTTGAGAAAATACTCTCTAAACATTTCTGTGGCTGCTGGAAACAGTGTCCCTTCTGTAAGGCAATTTGCACCAACACCATTGCTGGACATGACGGAGATCACAGTGTTCCCTTTCACCGTCCTCAGGCTGTTATTGGATGGTATTGGTATGGAACAGATCACTTCGACATTGACTGCTGTTCTACTGCAGTAGCAAGTGATATTCTGTTTCTTCGGAATGACAACCAGTGGTTCCCGTACAAGACCTACCGCCAGGCAGGAGGGGATTATGCTACTTGGAGTATCACCCCAGATTCATCCTCCCAGTCATATTGGAAATGGTTTGTTGTTCACTTCCAATCAAACTTAGAAGAAAGATACAAGAGAAAATTTAAGAATAGAGGTAGAATCCCTGATGCATGGGCTAAAATCACAAAGGAAGCTGTGCTTAGTGACTTGAAAGAATAATTTCGTTACCCCCCAAAATAACACGCAACAGAAGATGTCTATGTTGTGTGAACAAAAATGTCATACCGTTATATCTTACTAAAATGCATGCTCCCTACAGCTAGAGAATTCAGGTTTCTACTCCGTAGGTGAACTATGTAAAAAGCAAATGATGTAACATTTTAGAAGTTGAAGATGTCCGATACCAAAATTCTTTTCTGTCTATGTCAGTGCAGTCTTCTTTAAAGTCCAATTACTATGGCTGGCCAAATATCTCAGTGGATTAAAGCACCTGCATGGCCAGATACAGGGGCTTGGAATTCGATCCCTTGGCCTGCTGCACTCGCCCCCCACTCCGCACCCCTGGGAATGCAGGCTGAGATGATTGAAACTGGGCATGGTGTTTAGGGCCTCTAATTCCAGCACTTGGGAGGCTGCAAATAGGAGGATCACTATGAGACCGATCTATGCACTGAGACCTTGCACACCCTGTATATCCTGTCCTAAATACAAATAAATAAGTAAATAAATAAATATAAATAATAAATTACTTACATAGTTTAAAATATGATAAAATTTACTTAAATCACTGCTTTTTAGTCAAAAACATTGTCCTAAATATTTTCTAAAATATGTGATATGCCAAGCATGGTAGTATATACCTATAATCTCAACACTCTGAAGATTTATACTAGAGGATTGCTACTTGGTGGGGCCAGTGTATATAGGCATATCAGGGAAAGAACTCTAGCCCCTTCCCTGTCTAAGTTGGTACTTAGCCCACTGAGCTATCTTGCCAGCCTTACTATATAAGGTTGTTAAGTGATTTTCTTTTACTATTTCAAGTTTGTGGAAAAGTTATTAACTTTTAATTACAAAAACATTCCTGGTAATTTTATAAGTTCTAAACATAGCAATACTTATGTATATTGCATTATATGAAGGAGCAAGTACATAATTTATGAAGATAAATAACTTTTCAACTCAGGAAATATTAAGCAACCATGAGAAATTAAAAAATTAATTTTTTTTTTCATTTAGACATTGTTGTCTTCTTGCCTGGCATTGGATATTTCCCTTGTCATGCTACACACATGAATGACTGAATGAAAGTTGGACTCTGTCAATAGACTTTTTTACATCTATTAAGATGACTCTTTGGTTTTTGTTCTTGGTTCTATTGATGCAGTGTACTACATTTATGGCTTTGAATATGTTGAACTATATCTGTATTCCTGGACTTCTTGATCATGACATATAAATTTCTTGATGATTTGCTGCATTCTGTTTGCTAGTATTTTATAGAAGATTTTAGGATCTATGTTCATTAGAGAGGTTAACCTGTAGTTCTTATTTTTTGGTTGGATCTTTGCTTTGGAAATCAGAATAATACTTGCCTCCAGGAGTGAATTTGGGAGAATTGCTTAACTTTCAATTTCATTGGTGTTTGACAAAATTTGGTATTAAATTTTCCCTAAATTTCTCACAGAATCATGCTGTGAATCCATTGGCAGCTGGACTTTTCTTTGTTGATAGTTTTTAAATAATGTTTTCACTTTTGTTTGTTGCTATTAGGTATTCAGAGTTTGTATATCCTCTTGACTTAGCTTTGATACTTCATTTAATATAGTTCTGGAAACATTAGCCAAAGCAATTAGACAAGAGAGAGCTTATTATCAATAGAAGCTAAGATAGACTGTGTAAAATTATTTTATGTATTTGCTGCAGGGTCTTACTATGCAGCTCAGACTTGTAGTGATCCTCCTGTTTTCAGCCTCCCCAGCACTGGATTACAGGTGTGCATCACCATGCCAAGACTCAGTTGCCAGAGAAATAAAAGGAATAAGGACTGGAAAAGAAGTGAAATCATCATTACTTAAAGATTACATGATGCTGTACATAAAGGACCGCAAAAGGTGCACCAAGTGTCTTCTACATTTAATCACCAAATTCAGCAACGTGCCAGAATACAAAGTCAACACTCAATAATCAGTAGCATTTTTTAATGTATTTGATTGTTACAGGATCTCACTATGAAGCTTGAACTCATGGTGATCCTCCTGTTTCAGCCTTCCCAGTGCTGGGATTGCAGATGTGTGCCGCTGCAGCCAGACTCTGACTGGCTTAGCCCACATTAGAGGTGGGGCTGGTGCAGCATGTAGTGCCAGGGATTGAACTGTGGTGCTGTGCTTGCTTAAGCTTGCCTAAGCAGGGGCTTCAGTCCACTGAGTTATCTTGCTTGCTCCTCATTATCATTTTTGTACACACACACACACACACACACACACAAAAAAAAAAAAAACAGTGAGAGAAAATTTAGGGAAACCATGACTTTCACAATAACATCAGAATAAATGAAATACTTTTAATCAATCTGACAAAGAACATATAAGATTTATATAGTGAAAATTATAATACTCTGAAAAAGAGATTGAAGAGGATTTGAGAAAACGGAAAAATATTCCATGCTTCTGGATTGGAAGAACCAACATTGTGAAAATGGCCATACTCCCAAATTGTTATGTAGATTCAATGAAATCCTCATTAAAATACTAGTAGTATACCTCTCAGAGATAGGGAAAAACTTTCCCCAGATTCATTTGGAAGCAGGTGAGATCGAGAATATCAAAGGGAATCCTGGGAAACAAAGGTAAGGCAGGAAATATCACAATCCATTACCTGAAATTGTACCATAAAGCTACTGTGATAAAATCATCATGTTGCTGGCATACAAACAGTCCTTAGGATTAATGGAACAGATTAAAAGATGCAGAAACAACTGCAATCAAACTCAGTAACATTCCTTTGATAAAGGGGCCAAACGTGCTAAATGGAAGAAAGATAGACTCCTCAATAGATATTTCTGGAAAAACTGGTTTTCCACAGGCCAAAGACTAAAACTAGACCCATGCCTATCACCATGCACAAAGCTACAGTCAAAATGGATTAAAGAATTAAATACTAAAACAGAAACACTAAATCTTCTGGTGGATGTTGTAGGTAGAAATCTTAAAGACAGAAGGTTTAAAGATTAATTTCAAAGATTAAACAACTGGAGGCCTGAACTTTTTGAAAATTTTTACATTTCAAAGAAAATCTCCAACAGAGTAAAAGGAAAACCAATAAGCTTGCAAAGGATTATAGCTAACTGTCCCTCCAACAAAGACCTACCTAGAACTTAAAATAATTAAGTTCCTTTAAGAAATAAAGCCCCCCAAATTAAAAAATCCAATCCAGAAATGGACATCTGAAATGAATATACACTTCTCAGAGCAAAAAAAATACAAATTGCAAGGAAATATATGAAAAAATATTCAGCATAACTGGTCATTTGAGAAATGCAAATTAAAACAGCACTCTGATTCCCTCTTACCCCAGAAAGGATGGGTACCATTGAGAAGTCGGCCAGTAACAAAGGATGTAGAGGCTGTTGTGAAAAATCGATCCTTCTGCACTGTTGGAGGGAGTGCTGACTGGTATGACCACTATGGAAATTGGTGTGGAAATTCCTCCAAAAGCTAGGATTGGAGATTACATTCCACTAAAATTTTATCCTCTTGGATATTTTTCCAGAAGACCTGAAAACCTCATACTACAGTCCTACATGTTCAACCGTGTCTATAGCAGCAAAATTTGTCATAATTGAATCCTGGAAACAACCCAGATGCCCATCAACTGAGGCATGGATAAAGAAGATGTCATATTTTTCCACAATGGAGCATTATTTATCTGTAAAACAGGATAAATTTGAGGAGCCATTGAGATAACTCAGTAGAATAAGTGCCTTCCTTGCAAGAGCACAGGCCTGAGTTTAATCCCCAGTACCACAAAAACAAAGCGAAAAAAAAAAAAAACCCAAAGAAAACAGGATAAGTTTGAGGTTTTGTCAGTGAATGGATGGAACTAGAAAATATACACTTAAGTGAAATAAATTAGACCTGCAAGTACAAATATCATATTGTTTCCTTAGTGTGAGAACCTGAAAGAGAAAAATGGAATCTGAAGGATACTATAGATACTGGAAAAAGCAATGAACTTGCTTGAAAGAAAAGAGTTAATGAGTTGAGACAGAGAAGAGAGGAAGTGGGGTAAAGAGAATTATCTATGCACGGAGGCAGGATGTTTTGGACAATTGTACTGTGCATTTCTGCTGGTCTGTTTAAAGAAACAGTAAATGCTTTAATTTGTTCAATCTCATTTTTTAACTGTTTGTATTATTTCCCTTCTTAATTTCTTCTGCATTTATTTCTATTTTTTATTTCTTATTCCAATTTTAAAAACATATATGTGGAAATATGAATAACTGGTTGGAAGACAACACTGTATATTACAACAAATACTATAAAATTCATATTACTTTCTTAGGTAAAATTCTGTATCACTTGTAATTTTACTGTTTTAATACTAATTTGTATTCTGTTTTCAAAAATAATAATTACAATATTAAAAAGATACGAACTTTTAAAAGTGGTGCTGTTAGTCTCCGTTTCATTATAACTTTTGTTTTACTTTTAAAATTTAGATACCACTGTGACACATTCATTTATCTGGTAATAAGGGTAATTATTAAATGAAATTCAGGAATTATTCTCACAGTGTCATGTATACAAAAACAGATAAGTTGTTGAGATGGAAGATAAATGTGGGGCCAGCCAAATAGCTCAGCAGATTAAAGCACCTGCAAGCAGGTGCAGGTGTGTGGGGTTTGATCTGGGGCCTGCCTTATCATCCATGCCCCCAGGGTGCACTGAGATTACAAATGAGACTGGGTGTGATGGTGCAGGCCTATAATTGCAGATCTTGGGAGCCTGTAAACAGGTGGGTCACTAAGAGTCTGATCTAATATTGAGACTCTGAACACCTTGTTTACCCCTCCCTAAACACACAAAAAAGAAGATAAATGCATATGAATGATGATATCTGTGGTAGCTGTATATCAAGCAATGTTGCCATTAAAGCAAATTCAGTCTTACAGGGAAATACAGTAGTCAGGATACCACTGAGGGAGGAAATCTGAGAAACAGTGGAACAGAGCAAGTTGAGCCAGGAGGAATGGCATCTTCAAAAAGAGGAGACAGTGGGTTCAGGAACAGATTAATAAATTAGAGAGTTCAGAGTTATGAGGTTAGCTGGTACAAGTTTTACTTGTTGGTAGAATGTATCTCACAGAATCTATGAAATGGGGTCAGAGATACAGAAATTGGGAATGAATTCAGCAGTACATTGAGACTCTAACCAGTCATATATCATGAGAAAGGAGCCAACGTCCTGTAGGGTATGACTAAAGGAATGATGGATT